ACAGTGCCGACATAAGTTTTACACTTTTTTATTATTAAACTTACAATTGACATGTGTAAAATTTTTTTATATTTTCCAGATGTTTAGTAATTTGTGGTTATTATGAAAGTAATGAATTGAATTTTATGATTCCTGGGCATACTAAATTCAAATGTGATGGTAATTTTGGGATGATTAAAAAACTCTATAGGATAACAAGAGTAGATTGTCTTGATCATGTGGTTTCAGTGGTAAAAAAGTCTAGTCCAGCTGGTTTGAATAAAGTTCAGTGTTATGAAGGTGGAAAAGGTTTTCAATACTTAGATATTAAAGCAATTTTGGGAATTTATTTTAAGAAATTAAATGGCCTACAAAAATATCAACATTTTCTTTTTGAAGTAAAGACTAGTGCCATAAATTATGATGATGGTAGTAATTGTATCTACGGCATATAAAAAGTGGTTGCAATTACCTTTGCAACCACTTTTGCAACCATACTTTTTCCTTTTTTGGATTACGGCACTAGTCTTTATTTTGAAGCATCTAACCTTGGTACAGTGAAAGTTCAAGAAGTTGCTAATGGACCTTTTATTGAATTCAATTTATTGAAAATCAAGAAAGCAGATATTTTTGAAGAAATTAGAACTTTATCTATTTTAGTGTTAGCACCACCTCCTTTGGATCATGAAAGGCAAGAGTATCTTTATCAGAATATTCGTCCATTTGTTAGAGATGAATTCAAAGATATTACTTGTCCAAGACCATTCTATATTGGCAACAAATAAAATATTTAGAATAAAAACACTTGTTAATTTGTCCCCTTACTGTCATTAAGTTTAATAAGGTTGATTTTTTTGACAAATATTGTCACCTTTAAAGTAAAAGAGTACTAAAATAATCTATATACTTAATATGCCCTCATAAAAAGGATATAAGTATATTTATATTAAAATAAAAAAAGAAAATCATACTGTTGGAATCTTTGAATCTTCTTCGGAATCTTTTCTGATTTTTTTGCCAGTTAATAAATCCGTCTTTGAAGGTAATTTGTTGTTGTCGTTGTCGTTGTTGTTGTTGATGTTGTCGTTGTTGTTGTTATTGCCAATACTATTATTTAATGATCCAGTCACAGGAGCAGAAGACCTTCTCATCGTTTTATATCGTTTGTTGTTATTTTTTTTGTTAACATCAGTAATTATATGATGGTCTGATTCAGATTTTTGATGTCTCTTTGAATGATTAGGGTCCAAAGCAAATCTCACTGATTGTACAGACTGTCTATTATTACTCTTTTTATTGTTGTCGTTGTTTTTATTATTGGAAGTCAAGTTATTTTCCACTTCATCTTTTAGTTGTGGCTGCGGTTGTAATGGTTGCGGTAATTGTTGTGGCTGTTGTTCTTGTTGTTGTTCTTGTTGTTGCTAATGGACCTTTTATTGAATTCAATTTATTGAAAATCAAGAAAGCAGATATTTTTGAAGAAATTAGAACTTTATCTATTTTAGTGTTAGCACCACCTCCTTTGGATCATGAAAGGCAAGAGTATCTTTATCAGAATATTCGTCCATTTGTTAGAGATGAATTCAAAGATATTACTTGTCCAAGACCATTCTATATTGGCAACAAATAAAATATTTAGAATAAAAACACTTGTTAATTTGTCCCCTTACTGTCATTAAGTTTAATAAGGTTGATTTTTTTGACAAATATTGTCACCTTTAAAGTAAAAGAGTACTAAAATAATCTATATACTTAATATGCCCTCATAAAAAGGATATAAGTATATTTATATTAAAATAAAAAAAGAAAATCATGGTAAACACAATAAATGAATTCCAAGAGAGAAATAAACAACTATTAGAAGAAAATGACAATTTAAAGAAGCAACTAGCAGATAAAGGAGAAAATCTTTAAACTAAAAATCTGACATGTCACTGGTCAGTCTATTATGAAAATGGAGAAGCTAGCATGAATGCTTCAAGAGAAACATGATGATACAAAAAATTAAATAAGAAATGATTAGATGAAGGAAAGTTAAGAATGGCAGTAGATCCAAATGAAACTAGAGAATGAGCTAAGAATTGTAAAAGAATTTGATTTGATAACATCACCATTGAAGAGATGTTAGATGGTTTTATTGAATATTCAAATGATTTAGGAGATAATTATGCTGGAAGCTTTTCAAGAATATGTAATTTAAATAGTCAATTAAATCAGCAAAAGAGAGATTATGAAGAAAAGATAGCAGAGTTTAGTGTTCCATGTCGCAATCCAAAAAAGGAAACAAAATGGTCGTAAAGGTGGTTGCAACCAGTGGTTACAATCATTTTTATATGACGCAAAGGTGGTAGCAACCATCATCAAAAGTTGCAGCCGGTATCCTTAGCAGAGTTGGAAGCAAAAAAGAAGGAATTGGAAGCAAGAGTAGAAGAGTTAGATGATGAAGTATGGATGGAGCAAGAAGAGGCTGAAAAAGCACTAAATAAAGCCATGGAATGGAGAAAATGACAAATGTTTGAAACTTTGTTGAAGCATG